CGCAGAGTGCCTCTCCCGCCGGCACCTACGCCGGGCTGCAGCCGCTGTGCTCGCATCGTCTCCATCCCGGCAGACGGCAGAGCGGGGGCCCCCCGCAGCTTGCCAGCCAGGCGAGCTAACGGTCCCAGCTACCCTAGTGAGCAAGAGCCGAGGGACTGAGGGCGGTGCCGGGATCCAGCTGTCAGTCAAGAGCGGGCGGGGACCAGCCAGATGCCATGCCAATCACTGGTGGAGAGGGAGGGAAGGGGCGGGCCCCTGAGCCACCTTAGGCAAATGATTGAGGAAGGCGGAGGCTGCGGGAACCAATTGCAAAGAGAAAAGGCGATACGGTCTAAGAGGGAGAGCTTCGAAGCATCTTTGGGAATCCTGTGGCAAACGCTAGAAATCCGGCCAGACCCCTGGGGCGGGGCTTGAAGGAAAAATAGGCCTGGAAGCAAGGCTGGGCAGACTTGTAGCTGGAAAGGATTCTTAGAGATCTTGTCTGGTCACTTCACTTTCGAGATGAAGATGCGGTTCAGAGAAGTGATACGACTTGTCTCTAAGTTCATATACAATTGATGGTGAAGCTAAGACGGAGTATGATGCCGACTTCAATGAGAACACTAAATGTGGCATTCTTTAGTGCACTGTCCCATTTAATAACCGCAAGCACAAACCAAATTTTATTATTTTATGAACAAGGAAAGTAATGCTCAGGAAGGTTGGACTCCCGACCCCAAATCAAATAGCTCATTGGGAAGGGGGACTGGCACATAAGTGTTCTGATCCAGACGTTCTCATCTTTTCACTGTGCTACATTTAGGGATGGCTTTCTGACGTCCGCTACTCACTAACGGAGAGAAAGTAGAATGTGCTTATCACCATACAGAAAGAAAGCTAGGATACACGCAGAAACCTATCAAACTGAGAAATTCAGGACATGGACTGGAAAGGGTAACTTTATTCATAGAACTCCTCAGGCTGAGTCCCAACTATCGTCCCCACACAGATACCCATGCGCACACACTATGACAGGCTTTTGTTCATTGACTATCAGTCCTTATTTTTCCTTGGGTAAAGTTACTAGCCCCACCCTCTCTCCTAGGGTGGCTTAAAGATTAAACATGGAGGTGAAATGAAAATGAATGAGACATACTTGGTGAAATGAAATTAAACTTTGTGTTTAAAAAACACTAAAGGAAAACAAAAAATGCCAAGAAATAGGAAGTCGTATCTACTTATGGAGATGGGGGGGCTGTAAGATTCTTGAATGGGGGACTGGAGAGATGGGTTGGTGGTTAAGAGCACTGCTGGTCTTTTAGAGGACCAGGGGTTCAATTCCCAGCACCCACACGGCAGCTCACAACTGTCTTAGAACTCCTCTTCCAGTAGATTCAATACCCTCATACAGACATGCATGCAGGCAAAACACCAATGTACATAAAATTAAAGTAAATTAATTTAAAAAGAATGTTAAATCATTAAAAGCCAGGCATGGGGAATCTGGGGGAGAGGGGGCTATCATATGCCTCAAAACCTGCACTTGCCTTTTCTTCTACAACCACAATTGGTCATTTGATCTCCTGGAAAGAAAGTAGCCATAACCTCTAGATGCCCCCCACCCCCGTAGCTGTAATTGTAAGTTAGCAATCCCTCCCCGTCCTTTCCTCTTTACCCCGACCCCAGACCTTCAGGCAGCAGTGAGAAAACAGAGACTTCTGAACACATTTATTTGACATGTCAAGTGGTAAGAGGGCTGACTTAGGCTTACTCCCCACTTCTACCTGTAGGGGGTGTTCATAAACTCACACACACAAAGGAGCAACTTAGAGCCCACGACCCACCCCCTGGGTTAAACAAGACAATCTGTGGTGGTGTGTGTTGTGTGTGTGTGTGGGGGGGAGGGTGCAAGGTGGGAATTAAAAGCAAGAAGTTGAGAGCGTGAAAGGCAGCAACAGAACCCAGACTGGGAGCTGCTGCAGGAACCCTAAGAAAAGTGAGGAAGACATCCTGAAGAGCGATGGAAGCCGGGTATGAGCAAGGAGCCAGGCGTGGAGAAGCAAGACCTGCAGAACAGGGTGAGATATTCATGAAGAGAAAGTAGAGTGTGCGAAAGTATGATAGGCCACGTTTCAGGGCATACACAGAAAGCAAGGGATTGCTTTTTCAGGAGAGCAAGATACAGGAGACCAGCCTTAAGTGGGGGCTCCCTGCTGCTTCTGAACAAATGCCACTGAGTCTGGGACCCTAGCACAAGTGGTCCTCTGTTTGTTGGTGTGCTGTGCCTCTGGGTACCCAAGTAATGCCGTGTGCGTGTGAAATGACCAGGACTCGAATGCGTGGGTCTATACGCCCAGTAAACACAGTATTTATCCATCCTCAATAGTAAGTGTACTGTGCTTGTGGACACATGCTTACCCATGTGTGCGTGCACAGTGCCGTGAGCACATGCAAGAGATCCCATGTCCGAGGTATCAGCTGGTTCTCCCGCCATCAGGGTCCTGACCCTCCCCCTCCTTGGTGCCTCTCACTTCACTCAGCGCCCTGGTTCCCCTGGCCCGCCCAGACTCTGGAAACCCCCTAGCAGGCGAATCTGCTCAGTCTGCATGGAGTGGCGTCTCACCAACTTGCGCTTGGTCCTGGGAGACCCTGGTGCCCCAGAGTGAGGAGGGGCAGGCAGTGAGGGTGCCCGACCTCCGGGTTGGGGACGAATGTCGGGGATGGGAGGGTGGGGGCTGACGTTGAGAGGAGGCAAGAATCCGGGTCGTGTTTGCGAGATGTGGTCCAGGAGCAAGGTCCCGGAGCCCCTGCGCTCTAGCAGCCCGGGACTCCGCCTCCGCCCGCTCAGCGGGGATACAGCTCCGGGCAGACTTTCTTGGGACTGGCGTGGGGAAGAAACTGAGCCCGCTGGAGGGAGGGTCAGCGGAGAGGCGCTGTATCGCCGGCGCTCCAGGGCTAAGCGGCTGGCCTCGGGAGAGTCAGGGCAAAAATGTCCAGGGGTATCGAGCTCCACCGGCTCCATGCGGCTCAGTTTTTGCCTTAGCCCTGAAGGCAGACCAGACTCCTGAGCCTCAGGCGCTGTGTTTCTGCGCGAGAGAGGACCCCCGCCAGTCACTTTCTCCGCCCACGGGGGCGGGTCCTCCGGGCCTTCGGTGCTGTGACGCCGAGAAAGACGCGGTCTACCCGTTAGGGTCAGGCCGTTAAATTCAGCGGCCAGACGCTCCATCCCCGGCCTCCCTTCAGCAGGGGGGACCGGGGGAGGAGGAGCCACAAGGCCCCAGGGCTCGGAGTTGAGCCTTTTGAGTGGTTTTGGGGGATGTCGAGGCGGCTTGGGGAGAGGCTCGGAAGGGGAAGGGTCATCGGGGGGCTTAGGAAGGGGGAATTCAAATATGTCTCTTTTCTCCTCTTCTTCCTGGGCGCGAGGGGATAATAACCCCCGTCCCCCTCCTGCAGTCTGCAGTTGGACTTCCGAAGGCGACGTGCAGACCCCTGGACTAGGAGGAGCGGGTGCAGGGTCCTCTACCCCCGGGGACGGTGGGGAATTGAGATACTGCCTGGTCTTCTTGGTGCCCGAGGGCGAGGTATCCGTGGTTATGATGATGACCTCCGTGCCCTTGGCCTTGCAGGCGTCCAGCAGCGTGGCAAGGGTCTCGCGGTCCCCGCGGTCCAGGGCGTGGACAAGCGCCGAAGCGCCAGCGTGATCTCGGACTGAGGGGTCTGCGCCGTGGGCAAGGAGCAGAGAGGCCACTGCGGCTCCCCCACCCCCGGCGCAAGCGTGCATGAGCGCGGTGCGTCCTAAACGGTCTGCGATGTTGGGGTCTGCGCCTTGCTCCAGGAGGTAGCGTACCATGCGCGCCTTGTTCTGAGGGTCGTCGTAGCGGGCCCTGCAGGCCGCCATTAGCGCAGTCTCCCCCTGGGCATCACCCTCATTCACGTAGGCTCCTCCCTCCAGAAGCAAACGGGCCAAGCGTAGCTTACCCTGACCCACCGCCCGAAGAAGAGCATGGCCTTCGGTGTGCAGCATAGCTGCGGCTCGGGCGAAAGCACCGATGGAGCCGGGACCTGCCGAAGATGGCTAGGAGTGTGGGGGTGGTGGCTGGGAGAGGCCTGAGGTCTTGGTGGTAAAGCCTATCCCTGTGAAAAAGGAGAGAGACACAGAGAGAGCTTATTGACAGGCTCCTCAGGGAAACTGAGGCACCGATGAAGGTGCCTGGTTTATGGCGGGCGGGGGATCTTCTCCAATGCACAGGCTCCTGCCTTTGAGCGCCCCCCCCCACCAGCGCATGCCAGAGGAGGTGGGAAGGGTGCATCCGCACTGAAGGATGAGGGCTCGTGCAAATGCGTACATGCACGCGCAGAGACATTCGCACCCCCCCATTCGCACCCCACGGCTTATCAGACCTTTCCAACATCCCCCTTTTCTCATCCACACTTGGAATCCCCCTCTCTGGGATACTGAACGCCACCCACCCACACACATGCACCCGTACAGTCATACACATATCTCTATTCCTAACCTCTTTTAGATTGCCACATCCCCAAAAATTGAGTGGGGGGAAGGAAGCAGCTTGCATTTGGGACCTAAAGGGGTGGAGGAAGAATTAGGGATTCTTTTGCCCCTGCTATGTTCCCGTTGCTCCTTGTTCTTCCCCCCTCCCAGGCCGTACCCCCAAATAGATACCTGAATGTCCGCATAATCTTTGCCTGGCCAGGATTCAGGCCGGGGCCATGGGGGCCTCCGGGGTGGAGGAGCCGGGTACCTGGGGGCCCACATGGCGTGGGGGGGGCACCCGGATTCCCTTGGTGTCAGTATCTGCGCCCCAGCGCTGGATCCTGGTCCCTCCTCCCGGTGCGCCCCGGGCACAGCGCCGGCTCCGGAGGAGAGAAGAGGGGGGGTGGGGGGCGGAGCTCTGCTGTGCTATTTATAGACCAGTCTCTGCGGGTGGGGGCGTCCGGCACCAAGCCACTCCCCACCCCCATGCGCACACACATAAGCAAAAAAAAAAAAAAAAGCATCTAGTGCCTCCAATTTTGACTTCCCTTTCTTAACCCACCTCCCCCAGCCCCAGCCAACCTAAGCGCTCCTCGGGGGACTCTCCCGCGACCCATTCAGGAACCGTCATCCCGATTCTGATTCCTCTTTGAGCTTCAGCAGACCTGCATGATCTCCAGTATGCCAGACCTGACTGCCACACACGGCATATGGCACACTGTGCAGAGTGGTGTAGGGAGGCGGTTGGGATCTGCAGTGGCATCCACACAGATCAGAGAGAGGCAGGAGATGCAGCTCCTCTCTTCCCGTAGTTTAAATATCAGGGAGAGTATAGCCTGGAATCAGACAGCAGTACATTCCCGATGCGCCTGTCTCAAACATCACACACACCCCAGAGACACTTGGATCTCAGTTCCCTTGGGTCCCTTAGGAATGTAAGGAAGGTGGTTCCCAGGGCATTTTTAGGGCAAGGGGCATTCTCGGATTCCCTTTCCCTCCGTATTTCAAGGGCTGTCCGCAGGAGAGAGGAAAGGGGCAGAGCAGTGACGGAACCCTGTTACACGGTGCTCGCTCTCATCACACACCCCTTTACTCCATTTTCCCGTCTCACTTGAAGGGCCCTGCCTGAATCACTCCTTGTCTCTTCCTATCTGTTGCTCTCACTGCCTCTGCCTCTCCGTGCCACCTGCCCTGTCTCTATGGTTACCAAGGCTTCCATCTGCATATTTTAGGGATGAGTTTGTGTCCAGTTGGAAGGTACCAAGGGTTTGGAAAGCTTACCAAGGATCCTAGAGAACTCAAAACGATGGAGGCCACCATATACAGATGAAAAAAAAATGTTACTGGGAAAGGAAGAGAAATATTTATAGGGAAAACACCCACTTATACTAGATATTGATATGTCGAGTGCTTTGCTTAGCGTACATCACCTCAGTAAGATGGGAACTGTTGTCTTCTTGTAACAAATGGTAATGAGGTTAAGCAAGTTCCCCCCAAGTTTCATCACTATGTTTTCATACTATTCCAAGAACTGGGCACTGGGCAATCCATCCACATACAACTTCCCAGTCTAGAGACCATTTTCTCTGACGTCTGGCATATTCTTGTTGACTGCTCATAGCTTTCTCTCCATCCTGAGGTATTTCCCTCTTTCTACTGCACGAAAGCACGACTCCCCCCGCCCCCATCTTTACCCAGGGGCTTGAAGGACACTGGGTTCCTGCCTTCTCTCCCCAACGACTTGTCTGATCCCCCAAGCCCCCTCCCTGCTGGCATTTCTCAGACACAGCTCCAATCCACGGGGTGTTGGGGGCGCATTTTGGGGCTGAGCTTGGTAGCACACAGTAACAGCAGAGGCAAGGGTATGAGTTCAAGGCTACCCTAGACTGGGTAACCATATTGTCGTCTTTTTTTTTTTTTAAGTATGTATTGGTGGCGTTGGATAGAGACTGCATAAGATTAAAGAGAGGGTCGGAAAGTCACCAAAAGACCTTGCGAGTGGGGGTGGGAGGGTGGCGCGCACGTCGTAAGGCCAGAAGGGGGCGCCAGAGCCCCTGGAGCTGGAGTCTGGCGGGTGGGAGCCTCCAGGCGGGTGCTGGGAGCGACCTCGCCGTTGGGCAGCAGTCTAGTCTCTCCCACCCACCCAGGAGGACGTTTCCCAGCAGCGGCTCTCCTCTGCGGGCTCAGCCACGTGCCTGGATGAGCTCCGAGGAGCAGGTCGTCTTGCCATCCAGAGTCCGTTCCGCCCGGGCCGAGGCGGAGGCTCTGCAGCCCCAGGTCTCAGCTCGCCCGACTCGGCCAAGCCTCAGTTCCGGTTAGCTCGCTCCCTCCCCCTCCTCCCCTCCTCCCCCTCCTCCGCTCGCCAAGATTGGCCGGGAAACCCACCAATGGGGAGCTCGGGGAGGCGGGCCCAGAGCGCGGGCTGGAGGAAGAAAAGCGAATTTCAAGTTGGCCGCTGCGTGGGCCCCGGAGTGGGGGAGGGACGGCAGGTAAGGCTTGAACTCGGTGGCTCCGACCCGGTTTGGTCCGGTACTTCCCGAATTAGTCCTCCGCGGCCGACAGCACCATAGGACAACGCCTCCGTCAGCCTGTCGGATCGGCCCCCTCCCGGGTCCCCTCCCTCCCTCCCTGGGCTCCCTCCCATTGCTGTGTTTGTTGACTGTGCATCAGAGACAGACACAGGGCTTGCTGTCGTGCCTGGGGACACACAGCCTCAGTTACAGTGCCAGCCTCTCGCGCATCTATTAAGGTCAGCCCCCGTCAAGAGCCCGACAGACTCCCGTTATCTAGCTGTCCACTCAGCTGAAACGCTCTCCCCTTCCCACCGCTTTCCTGGACCGCCTTTCCTGAATTAATAATTGAGCCCCAGCCCGACCCTGCCTGTTCAGCACTATTGGAATCTCTCTTAATTTTAAAAATCACATTATTTGTGTATTCGTGTGGGGGGGGGGCGTGGGCGTGCGCGCCACGGCTTGCGCATAGAGGTCAGAGGACAACGTGAGCGAGTCCGTTTTCCTGGCCACTTGGCAGCAAGAGTATTTACCATTTCGTGGGTCCCGCACTCTCCCTCCATCCCTCGCATCGTTTTTATTGGCAGACTCCTATGTGCTAGGATTGCAGGTTCTCTTTTGAAGTTTCTATTCTTTGGACCGAAGCTTTGGGGGAGGGGGGAACAGACTGTGGTACTGAACACATTGTGCTCAATAAACGTTAATTGAATGGAATTGATTTGTGGGAAACAGCGCCCCTGTCAAGGGGACGAATTAAAATTCCTAATATAATAAGGGAAGAAAAGAAGACAACATAGTATATAATTAAGGGCCTTTAAATTGGTGGTTTATTGCATTAATGTTTTATAATTACTCTCAGATCAGAGAAGGAAAACAGCAAAGAGAACGGGAAGGGAGGCTTTATGTCTCACAAGGTCTCAAGTGTAGAAGGTCTATAGACTCATGTGGCCATTTGTTCAAGCAACAGCTGTTTACTGAGCACCTACTACATGCCAGACACAGTGCTGGACAATGAGGATCGCAGAAAACCCCCTACTAAAATCTATCCAGTAAAGTGTTATTTAATGACTATGTGGAAAAATATTTTTGAGACAGGTTCTTGCTATGCAGTGCAAGCAGAATTGGCCTCGAACTTCTGATCCTCTGTCTCAGCCTTCTTGAAAGGCTGGGATAACAGGCTTTCATCACTACACCCCAAATTAAAAAAAAAAAATAACTGTGAAGAGTGAATCCAGCCTTACAAACACTGAGCAATAACTCTGTCCCTGAGCTACACCTCTACCCCTGTGCCAGCATCTTTAATAAAAGAATTCAATAGTTCTTTTCAGGTTATTCCACCATTTAACTTTTTTTTTTTTTTGGTTTTGTTTTTCGAGACAGGGTTTCTCTGTGGCTTTGCAGGCTGTCCTGGAACTAGCTCTTATAGACCAGGCTGGTCTCAAACTCACAGAGATCCGCCTGCCTCTGCCTCCCAAGTGCTGGGATTAAAGGCATGTGCCACCAATGCCCGGCAACTTTTTCTTTAGATTTGTTCAATTTATTATTGGTGGGGCGAGGTGGCGTGTGTGCCATGGCACGTATGTGGAGGTCAGGGGAATGAAGTATATTCTACATTTCCATTGGAAGGGGTTACAACAGGAAGGTTGCACCAACATCACACTTTTGTGTATGTGTGTGTGGAGGGGTGTTTCACCTGCATGTCTGGGCAGTATGTGTATGCAGTGCCTGCAGAATCCAAAAAAAGGCATCAGATCCCCTAAAACTGGAGTACAGACAGTTGTGAGCTGTCATGTGGGTGCTGGGAATCAGTCAGGGTCCTATGGAAGAGCTACCATGCATGCTCTTAACCGGTGAGCTATCTCTTCACACACACCCTTTTTAAGACAGGGACTCATAGAGCTCAGGCTGGCCCCAGACTCACTATAGAGCCAAAGATGAACTCAAACTTCTGAATGACAGTATTGGCCCATAGCTTTGTGCTAAGCAAGTTTTATTTTTTGTGGGATTTTATTTGACTTTTTTTTTGGTTTTTTTTTTTAATATATACTAAAGATTGAATTTTAACCTCATGGATTGCTAGGTCGGGGTGTATCACCAGCCCTCTGCATTCTTCTTGTTTGTGGTGTGTTTTGTCTGCATGTATGTCTTTGCACCACTTGTGTGCCCTCAGAGAGCAGAAAAGGATGTTGGATTCTCTGGGACCAGGGTTACAAACAGTTGTGAGTCACTGTGTGGGTGCTGGGAATCTAATCCCAGGTCCTCTAGAAGAGCAGTCAGTGCTCTCAACCACTGAACCATCTCTCTAGCCGTCCTCTGCATTGTTAAAAATAGAACATGCTTTTGACTTGTTAACTGTAGGATATACATTTATTCTACAAAACTTGCAAATATAGTAATATAGGGATAGTGTGCATTATTCCATAATCCTAATGTAGTGTTTACTGATTACTATTTTCCAAGTTTAAACTTTATTATTGTCATATGTACACACACATGCCACAGCATGCATGTTGCAGAGGCCAGCCATGTAATGTTATATCTCCATTTCACTTTTTTGTGGTCTCGGGGATGGAACTCAGGTCCTTAGACTTGCACTGTCATGCAGCAAATGCCTCTACCTGCTGAGCCATCTTTCCTGCCCATTCCTAGGATCTGGAGATATATTCTTAGTTTACTCTGTATTTATGCATAAATTTGTGTTTTTATAAGTAAATAGGACACTCAATAAATTCAACTTTATACCAAGAATGAAAACACAAAAAGAAAATAACAAGTAAACATGGCTTTATATCATATTCCCCCCTTGCCCCTCATACTTCATATTATCAACCTCCTGTCTCTATATAACTTGGTCATGACATTTATGATAACAGATAATCACTTATGTCATTTCACAATTTGTTGTTTGAAACAAGGTCTCACTATATAACCTGTGCTGGCTTGGACCACTTCCTGCCTTAGCCTCTTGTGTGCTAGGACTATAGGTATGCATCACAATACCTAGTTTATTTCAGAACTTTTGCTGCCTTAAATAGCTCTTTAACAAACATTCGGATACTTTTATTGCAGAATATGTGATTATTTAGAATGGATTTTGTGTAGATGGACTTTTCTGTCCTGCCAGCCAGTTCCCAAATAACCACACAGCGATTTATTATTATAAATGCTCAGCCAATAGCTCAGGCTTGTTACTATCTAACTCTTACATTTTAAATTAACCTATATTTCTTATCAGTACCTTTTCTCAGTATAGCAAGTTCATCTCCTCCTCTCTGCGTCACCATTCGATTCTAAGTCCTGCCTAACCACTCCCTGTCCATTTATTGGCCAGTCAGCTTCTTTATTAACCCAATCACAGTGACATATATTCACACAGTGTAAAGGGATATTCCACATTTTAACAAGAGGGCTTCCAGATTGAGAATAAAACATTCAAAACCTTGAGAGGTTGTTAGTCTTTCCATTGAGGTGTGGTCATGTTTTAGTTTGCTTTCTATTGCTGTAATAAAACACTATACAACTTAGGGAGGGAAGTGTTTATTTGACTTACACATCCCAGTCTCAGTCTATCATGAAGAGAAGCAAAGGCGGGAACCTGGATGCAGGAGGCCATGGAGGATGGTGCTGACTGACCTGCTCTCCAAGGCTTTCCCAGTTGCTTCTCCATACAACCCGAAAGCCACCTGCTTAATGGTGGCACCACCCACAGTGAGCTGGGCCCTCCCACACCAATCAACAATGAAGAACATGCCCCCAAGACTTTCCCTGAGCCCCATCTGATGGAATCATTTTCTCCATTAAAATTCCTTCTTTCCAGATGGCCCTAGCTTGTGCCAATTTGACAGAAAACTAACCAGTACAGTCAAGGTCCATCTGAGGGGAATCTCACCACAACCTGAATATTATCATTTACATTTTTTTTTAGTTCCTTTGTTAGGTAGAAAATGGTTTTACTGGGCTAGGGAGATGGCTCAATCCATAAATACTTTCATCTCAAGATGTAAAATCTAGGTTCATATCCCTGGAACCTACTTGTAAAAGCAGGACAAATATGGTGGCCTTCGGTGTAATACCAGCATTCCTATGGTGAGATGGGAGGTAAAGACCAGAAAATACCACAGAAACTCTCAGGCCAGCTGTGGCCAACAAGAAAGACCTTGCCTCTAAAACAAAGCAGAGGATGTAGATCACACCCAAAGTTGTTCTCTGACCTCCACACACGTCACAGCCCACAGGCACCTTCACACACAAACACCTGCACATGCATACAAATACATTTTTTAAAGCAGGGGCAGGAAAGACAGCTCAGGGTTAGGAGGGTACACTGCTCTCACAGAGGACATGTTTATGTCCCAGTGCCCATCTGCAACCCCAGCTACAGGAGAATCTGACTCTGGCCTCTGTGGGCACATGCACCCACATGCACATAACCCACAAATATACAATACACATAATTAAAAATAACTATGTCTTGAAAGAAAGAGACCAGGCATTTGGGAGGCAGAGGCAGGCAGATCTCTGTGGGTGTGAGGCCAGCCTGGTCTACATAGTTCTAGAACAACCAACACTATGTAGAGAGAGCCTATACCAATAGATAGATAGATAGATAGGTAGGTAGGTAGGTAGGTAGGCAGGCAGAGATGATAGATATTTTTGTCAATTTTCTGTTCATATTCTTTTTTTTTTTTTTTTTTGAGACAGGATTTCTCTGTGTAGCTTTGGAGCCTATCCTGGCACTCGCTCTGGAGACCAGGCTGGCCTCGAACTCACAGAGATCCACCTGCCTCTACCTCCCGAGTGCTGGGATTAAAGGCGTAAACCACCATATTCTTTTGTTGTTGTTTATTTGTTTTGAGACAGGGTCTCACTATGTACCTTGGCTGGCCTGGAACTCTTTTGTAGAATAGGCTGGCTTTGAACTCACAGAGACCCACCTGTCTCTGCCTCAAGTGCTAGGAAAGGTACTGGACACTATGTTC